CGATGACTCAAAACAACTGATAACTTCATTAAATATACCTCTCGATGACTCAAAACAACTGATAACTTCATTAAATATACCTCCTGATGACTCAATACAACTGATAACTTCAGTAAATATACCTCCTGATGACTCAATACAACTGATAACTTCAGTAAATATACCTCCTGATAACTCAAAATAACTGATAACTTCATTAAATATACCTCCTGATAACTCAAAATAACTGATAACTTCAGTAAATATACCTCCTGATGACTCAAAACAACTGATTACTTCAGTAAATATACCTCCTGATTACTCAAAATAGGTGATTACTTGTGCATGGGTGGGGGTCAAAGTGCATATACCACAATCTTTTACAGAGTGCCATTCAACATGGTATTGTGTATTTGATGTCAAAGTTATCCACTGTTCGTTTTACTCTGCAGTGCTTATTTAGGAACTGTTTGTCATAGAGGAGTGTAAATGTTACATGCAATATACAATGATAGCTAAAACAAACTATAGATATAAATTTTTGAGGTTCTACAGGTTATTCAAACTGTACGGTGAACGAAAGTATTTTTGTTTATCACATGAACATCACCTTGAACTCTGACTTGTCCGAGTCTGAGTCAGTCTGACATCATCAATTCATAAACATATCTTGAGTACAAATATTTTTTAACGCGGCTGTATTTTTGTGTACAACAGACCTGTACATTTTACTAAAAGCTTGCTTAAAAATCATTGTCAACATTTCTTTTACAATGTGGGGGGGGGGGGGTCGATGCAATGGACCGACCCTAGGCACGTTTGGTTAATTCAGACACACCTTAGATTTCTGCAAAACAGTAGGATAGAGATATGAAAACTGGTAATGATTTCATGATTGTTTGAAACACAACTACACTTTACTATATATGAAGACTTGCAGTAAGTATTTTCACAGTTGTCTGTTGACAAATGTATAATTACTTGTAGCTAGATAGTTTACAAGATTCAGAAGTTCTAAAATGAACTCTCCGTTCTACCAATGTAACTGTTTAGCTATCAAAGGGACTTGACTCTGAGAATGCAAGATGACACTGGAGTAATGTGAAAGTTATTGTACACTCGGATGATGATGATCCTTTTTGTAAGAACTTTTCATGTTTTGTTAGTAAAGTGATTGTAAATATTATATAACACAGTGAACAGATAAATACTCATGATTAAAATGTATGAAAACAAAAAACTTTTATCAACCAGACAAGAATGTTACAATTTGTTTTTGTAAATTGGAAGTGTATGTGTGTGCAGAAGGTTATATGAACTTATAAGCTTTGTTTGTTTTGAGGTAAAACTACACGTGCTCTGTTCGCTGCGGGAAATCGAGCCTTGGATCTCAGTGTTGTAAACCCGTAAACTTTCTGCATGCGTGCCTGGGGATATAAATGTAGTAAACTCTTGTTTAAACTATCAAGTTATTTATAAAACATTGAAACAGAAATAGACCTCTCTTACTTTGGCCAAATTGGGGAATATGGAAAGCAGAATAAGTAAAATGAGAAACAGTACAATGATCCAAATCCCTGTGTGTAAAATAAATTTGTGAGTGCATATAAAAAGTTAAATTTGTAAATTTATTTATGAAAGTAAAAAAAGTGATACAAAGAATGACAGAGAGATGTGCCAGCAAACTTAATTTTCACAAACAATTCCAGAAGACATTTTATCTTGTATATATTGCGAACCGTGTTGTCTGCCCGAGGGTTTGTCTGTCTCCCGTTTAATTGAAATGATGGGAGAACAGACATGAATAATGTTGATGTCAAATTTTATTTCACAAGCAGGATATTCTTCACTAAATTGTTAGGAATTCATCACACTATCGTTCAAATTTTAAAATGTTACCTAGCTTAAAGAATAAAAATGTAGATGTACAGTATGTTATTGTTGAGTGGCTCTTAGCATGACTGAAATGCTCAACAATTACTTTTGGCGGTAGGCGTTTTAAGTAGCTCAGAGATTTGGCTATAAGTGAAACCAAGAGTACAACACAATTAACCTTTTTAAAGTCCATGAAGCTGGTAGATTAACTTAAACTTTTCCCATCAGTGGGGACGGGTACTTTTGCTTGTACCAAATAAAATTGACAACAAACAAAACAATAAAAGGGTTTTCTATTCCACTGTCAGATTTTCCACATTCGCCAATAAATTGCTACTATTATTATTATATACACTCCTTGCATAAGGTAAAGAGAATTTATGAAGTCACACTTCATTCAGATGGTTAATTGGCAGAATTTAACTTCCTGTATAGTTATATGGCACATACTATGTGGTATTTTATTGATAGCTATTTTGATGCTTCATTGGTTGTAATATTCTCAGGTCAACCAATTTCTGCACAATTATCAGATAGGTCCGCTGAATAACAGGAAACATACAAAGTAATCAGAGTTCAACCAAATGACTAAGCTGTGTGAGATACAGACTGGACATGTGATGCATTGTGTAAACACTTTATTATAAGACACAGACAAAAAAAAAGTACTCATTGAACTCTCCAGCTAGTTTGTGCTGATTTTTATTGCTGGCATTATGTGCCTGAATAACTTTGACTTTATTTGCCAATGATAGCTCAACACAATCAGTTGGATTTGCCTTTGGCATCATTTTAGAATATAATTTGTATGTCACGGAGATTTATAAGAGCAGTTGCCAAGAAATTTCATGTGCGATCGAAACATAATAGACTGATGTTTTACTCAATGACTGATGGGGTATTTATATACACTGTATCTGTCACGGTGATGTTATGAAAGTGTGTGTGAAAACATCGCCTTTTCAAGTGGCTTCTTTTGTGGCTGCCTCTTATTAAATTTATAACCAATAGAAAGCCTAAATTCCAACTGATTGATTGCAATATGATTCACGCCACGTTATCGTACAGATAACTGTCAATTTAGCTAATGATAATTTTTTTCCCTACCATAACATAGTGGGGAGCTAAGTTGAATTTCAAACAGCTCAAGTCACATAATTAAGAGAGCCAGAAAACATTTGACAGATACCCAACTTTTTCAGCTGTTGACATGTCATTATTCTGTGTTCTTTCGTGCATTACTTACTATAAAAACATTTTGTGGACTAGTAGCATTGCTGAAAGTATTATGGCTAACATAGAAGGACAGTCGACGACAAAAAATAAAGGATCGAGGATCGCTCAGACCTTTGTTTGCAGTCGCCATTGTTTGTTTACCATAGGCTTATACGCGATGCGTTAACGGTCTCGTTTCTATTTGTGTGAGAATGAGGCATCAGTAGAGTGTACTGGCTCGAGCCATGCCAAGGGCGGTGTTAGTATAACAGATCCGCAAATTCTACTTATGTATTTGGTTATTTTGAATGGCGTGAATATTTTTGAAACTGACTACTAGGCTAGTTATATCCTTATGAAGCTTACTGGGGTGACGGAGATTTAGACAGAAACCATTTTAGAAATAAGTAAATATATATTGCTTTATTTTTTTATTGATATGAAGAATTAAAACCAAATCAAGCACATTCCTATTAAAATAAGCCCCCAAAACCGCAAATCTGGACCTCTCAAATATGAAAGCCACTGTTAAGAAAAAAAGCTCAAATCCGTGAGAAATACGCGAACATAGTAACTATAGAAACTACGCTAGAATTCAACAGGTAAACTCGCTTTCTTTTAGTAGTCGACAGCGTCACATCGTGTCCTGCATTCTCTCACAGGATTGGTTGGCTGTTACATTTATTCATCGTCAACCTGGTCAGCAAAAGATATTACAGTGGCAGTCCATACAATCCGAATGCTAATCATTACCTCAATTTTCTCTCAGGCAGAATAGAAATTCCTTAGTACAGAGAAAAACAAAACAACCAGAACAAGGTAGTCTTAACGACTTCCCGGACCACGTGCTGCCTCCATTACGGCATGGAAATTAAAGAGCTGAAAAATTTAAAGAATTTTTGTATCACTAAAGCAGGTAGAAATCATATACCTGCATATCACAAAAGTCATTGAGAGGCTAGCATGGGGTTACAATCCCCACAATTATTGCGCTATAAATCTAACTGTTGTACACCATAAATTCTAGAATTTGTGTCACAAAACCTAATATGTGCCAAGTTTCTTATGAATCAGAGTAAGTTGTTGTTTGTAATTAAGCACAAAGCTTCATAATGGGCTATCTGTGCTCTGCCCACCACGGGTATCGAAACCCGGATTCTAGCATTGTAAGTCCGCAGACATTCCGCTGTGCCACTGGGGGGGGGGTCAGAGTAAGTAGTAGCGGAAGGGCTTTTGTGAAGTCACCCCATCCACAAAGATTGGCCCATAAGACTAGTTGTAGTATAGCACAAAATATGTGTCAATTTGGGTTAACTTTAGAGTTGGTGGATATCCGTGCATATTCACGGACTTAGTATTTGGTATTTGTAAACTGAACTGCATTTTATGTGATACACACGTTCAACGGCCTGATTAGAGACCTTAAGTTCAAGCATGGTCACAAATAGTTCATACCTGCCGACTAAAGGGAGGGAAAACAGCAGCAGCAGCTGTACTTCTACACTGAAGCGTACTTTGTTAATGTAATTTTATGTATTTTGTAATCATCATAAAAATTTAAGGTTTAAGATATTTAACATTTTATGTGTTAATAATGTGTAAAATAATAATAATTTAATTTACTTGGGCCGAAGAACATTTTTAAAATTTGAATTCTTTATATTCATGAGGTGTTGGTGATTAAATTAATTGTAGTTTATAACGTATTATCCACTGAGAGTTTCAGCCCTCTATACAATAATTTACCCAATGAAAATTAACATGGAGTAATTCTATAGAGAAGCGTTGTGTCTACACTCTAGGGTATGGTGAGGCTTACGTATTTGTTGATGTTGAAAACATTTTAATAAAATGGTTGATACATTCTAAACAAAAATCAGTTAGAACTAACAAGATATCTTCATTTGACATGTTTGGGTTAGATATTCCTTGGCTATATCGTCGCGTCGAGACAACAGTTGAGACTGAGTTAACTACTTATTGATACAGTTATTACTACTACTACTAGTAGTAGTACTAAGTAATACTAATGAGTGCTACTTAATCAAGTTAATGTTAGCACTAATATTAGTATTTTCTAACATTTTGATTAGTGAGTACTGCTGTAAGTGTAATATTATATATATCTACTGCGATGTACTATACTGTACATTGTACGAAGCCCATGTGATTGTGAGATAGAACTGCTGATTCAACTTGTACTCAAGTCTCAAGAAATGTGCTTAGACCAGTGTAACTGTAAGTTGTAACTTAGTGTAAGTAGATTATTGTAGTAAATGTATTCATAAATCTTTAATTTTTAAGGAAGAAGTAAACACAATTTAACCATCATGTTCTAAGCCAGTGTTTGAAATTGAAAAGAGAACCGCTATTCAAGATTTTTTTGTGTGTGTGTTATGAGGTGTTACTTAAGTTAATGATAATACATATTCCCAAATAATCATTTCTAAAGGATACAATGAAGCTGTATTAAAAGTGCTGATATATATGCAAGTATTTTAAATTGTGAAGTGCAGGTAATGTGTACTTGTGAGCACCAGCTCATTTCAACTTTCAAGCATTGTTTTAAATTTAGTAATATATTTAAACCAAGTCAAATGTTAAATCAAAATATATAATTGTATAAAATATAGTATTCTCAGATTTGATGATTTTCTCTCAGCAATCTGGTAGATTCTACAAAATAACAAGAAGTTTAACAGAAAATGTTCTACAGAGTTAAACTGAATTATCTGACTTTGTGTTGTGAAAAGTGAAAGAAACTGGAGCTAGTATATGACAATGTAGAACAATCTATTCAAAATACAAAACAATCAAGCTTACAAGTATGAATTAAGGACAGTACCTTTGCTGGAGCTTCCACGAGTCTCTGTGAAGAAGCAGAAAAATCTGTCACAGAAAAGAATTTGTAGAAATGTTTCAGAGAGAGAAAACATAGCATTATATACATGAGGAAGTATTGCTATCATTTCTCGGAGTTCACATGCTTCCCTTGTTACTTGTGGTCATTTCTAGTGAAAAATAAGGGACATTTGCTTCTCAATGTATTACTTGACCTACTAGTAGAAAGATTACTATTTACTTTCACAAGTATAATAACTTTTATGGAACTATTTGCACAAGAAGGTGCATATGATACCCTAGATAAATTAACCAGTTCATTCAGTTAATTAGGATGAAACGAAAATAATTACTTACTTGGGCTATGTTTCATAACTGAAACTACAAACACCTGAATTTATAACCAATTTTGAAGTTTTTGTATGTAAACTAGATTTAAACGGAGGGGAAGAAAACATGTACTGTGCTTGCATATTATAATCAGGCAGACAACAAGGGATGGGTGAGATGAAAATAACCAATTATGCAGTGTAACAGAAGTACATCAAGTCACCATTTGGTCTTTCTAGGCTGCCTTTGCAAACCCATGCTTGAGAAAAATAAAACATTTTAAACGATTATTTATCCTTCATTTTTCAGGAATACACTATGTGTATCTATACAAAATGTGGCAGGCTTTTAATAAAATGTACAAGTCTTTTATACACAAGAAATTAGATGTATTATAAAAATATTTGTACTCAAGATATGTTTCAAGACAACATCAGTCTGACGCGGACTCTGACAAATCGTATTGCAAGGTAATGTTCATGTGAAGAATAAAAATACTTCTGTCCATCATACAGTTTGTATAACCTTTAAGAACCACCAAAATGCATATTTACACTGTTTTTTAGTATCCCTGTATATTGTGCTTGATATTTCATCTATCATGAACTGTTACTAAATCAACAGTGTAGGGTGAAATGAACATTTGATAACTTTGACATCAAATACATAACACCACATTTAATGGCATTCAATAAAAGGTTGTGGCATATGCACTTTGACCCTCACCCATGCATTTAGCCTTTATTTCAAAAGTCTGATCCTGTTGTCTTTAGAATACAACACAAAGAAATGAGAGGGCTTTATCCTGCTGTTTCCCTGGCTAATATTGTAAACTTAAATAAAGTAATCTCTTAGACTTTTCTTAAGAGAAAATAAGTTGAAATCTTAACCCATCCCTTGAAGATAACCCTTCCATCTGTAGAACCAAACGAGTATCCCTCTGAACCCTTTCCATCAATTCCATGGTGCCCCTTTAGATCCATCTTACCCGGAGGATAAACTTCAGTCATTGAATTACAAAAAAATAAAATGTACTTGTTCTTCCACACAGTTTTGGAAAATACTTTTAGAGTTGAAATTTATTAAATAAAAAAAGTGTTTACTTAATTTTATATGTAAATAACTTTAAGATATCTCAAGTGATGATTTTGCATTAAATACAGTGAGCTCTGAATGAAAACAATGTTTGTGAATTTCTTAAATTTTTTTTCTCATAATAATATGTCACTTGTACCCCCAGGAGTAAATTCAAAATAGTTCTGAACAAAATAGGACCAATTTGAACCTTGTAACTTCAATACAACTATAGTTTTTATCGATTTGAGCAAGTCTCTTTTTTGTGATCTTGGTGTGATGTAATTGCTTATATTTCAGCTTTGAGAATTCATAAGGTAGTGATGTAAATACATAATGAAATATATTTTCAACTGTATAAGCCAGATTTGTTTCCAGGTGAGGGGAAACATGCATAGGGATTGGAACAAAATGAAAAAAACTTAGGTTGGTGATACGTTTCTAGAAGAAAAGATGTTTGTGAACAACTTATGCGGCATTTACAGTTCTGATATTGTTTTAGAGCTTGCTTTATAATTTTTTTACGTCATTTGAATTATGATGTTGCAGTGTTATAGGAATTAGTTTTGTCACTTTGGGTTCAACCTTATAAATTTTGTTTTTTTGTAGAACTTAAATGTTATCGGCCCGGATAACTGCTTGAATTGACCAAGAAAAATCACTGAAAAGAAATGAAAAAATAAATTATATATTTAAATGAACATAAAACAGATTTAAAACTTAAGTGTATTCAATGAAACCTTCTGATTAATAGTTAAAAAAAGATGTTGGTTTGCTTATAATTTTGTTATGTTTAAATAATTATTTTTATTCTATGCCAGTGATCATAAACAAAGCTATTCAAAGACTATTTGAAACCAGCTGTCCCTAATTTAGCAATGATAGAGTGGAGGGAATGCAGCTAGTCAACACCACCCACCACCAACTCTTGGGCTGCTATTTGATAACAAATAGCGAGATTGATTATAACATTATAGTGCCCCCATGGCTGAAAGGGCAAGCACGTTCGGTGACACGTTTTGAAGATTGTAAATCAAGAGTGTCTTGAACACCAGACCATGCCAGGCCCAGTGAAATTGCATGCAAAGTTTTTCAAAGCAAAATAAAGATAAAATTTACAGTTTTATAAACTGAAGATTCTATTGAAAAGACTTGCAAGAATGTAGGAAGACAATTGTTAGGTAAAAAAGATCATAATGAAATATTTTAGAATTTTCAAAGCTGTGAATTCATAGAAATATCACATATAAAAATATTTTATTTGCAGAATCTATAATAAGCAGAAAGTTTATCTCAAGTTTCAAACTATCTCACCCAGTAGTCTATTTTTGAGCTGCGCAGTAAACTGTATGCAACAGATGCATCGAATCGATGCAAATGTGCTTATCATTTTACTTTTTAGATAAGACCAGAACTGCACACAGTAATCCAAGTGAGGCCTAACCAGTTATTTATATGCAGAAATAATTACCTCTCTTGTAATCAGCATGTCTAAAAGTACACCCTAATATTTTATTAGCTTTACTACTAGATACTGAGCATAGCTTCAACGACACGATCCACTACTGTGTCCACATCCTTTTTTTTAGTCATGCTGTTGAGTAGATTCCCATCTATATTAAACATGGAATCCAAATTATTATAACCCAAATGTATGAACCTTACACTTGCTGTAATTAATGGTTATTTGACAAATATCTGTCCAAATTACCCATTATTCTGATTAATTCTGTACAAAAACAACTTCAATACAGCTAGAAATACCTAAAAGCTTAATGTGATCAGATAACTGTACTGATTTACTAATTATACCCCTATGATATACTTAATTTGACTCAGTGAAATATGACTGTTTGTTCATTGTCATGGTTAGTAAGTAGCCTGTTGGACCACTCTAAGTCTAATTATTAATTAGTTAGAATTATTTTTTAACATTTATATACTAATTATTAACTAGTTTTTAAACTCATGTTTTGGCTGCTAATCTGCTATTATCTTCAGAGTAGTTCTAAGAAGTAGTCATTATTCTCTGTGGGGTCTTTCTTAGTAGAACTTGGATCAACTAACTCTGAAACTTTTCAAGAGGGGTATCCAGGTTTTGCTCTCTTCTGTACTAGCCTGACCAGGTGTGTTATTTGTTAGGTGGACGTAGAAGGTTTCATTTATCTTTCTTTTTCTCATATGAGATTCATGCCATGTTATTTCAGTATTATTCCAATTTATTGTATGGTCATTGGTCTCCTTTTATGACAAAAATAAAAATCAGTACATTATTAAGTACAGCTGTTCATACTTTTTGTATGGCTTTTAAGTTCAAAGATCATTTTAGCCCTAACATCTACCTAATGCAACACATTGATACTCCTTTCTGGAAAATGTAATGTGAGTATTTTGGTTGGAGATATCATAAAACATAAGCCATATTTTGAGCATGTTTAGAACATGCCTCCAAAGTAATAAAGGCTCCATGTGAAAACAAGCACAATAAACCAGTGTAATAACCTGTGTACATGAACAGTAGTAAATCTCTTACAAAGCTGTTTTACCAAGATTTCTAGATGTTAAATATTTCTACAATAAACCAGTGTAATAACCTGTGTACATGAACAGTAGTAAATCTCTTACAAAGCTGTTTTACCAAGATTTCTAGATGTTAAATATTTCTACAATAAACCAGTGTAATAACTTGTCTACATGAACAGTAGTAAATCTCTTACAAAGCTATGTTTTACCAAGATTTCTAGATGTTAAATATTTCTACAATAAACCAGTGTAATAACTTGTCTACATGAACAGTAGTAAATCTCTTACAAAGCTATGTTTTACCAGACTTCAAGATGTTAAATATTTCTACAATAAACCAGTGTAATAACTTGTGTACATGAACTGTAGTAAAGCTCTTACAAAGCTATGTTTTACCAGATTTCTAGATGTTAAATATTCATATAATAAACCAGTGTAATAACTTGTCTACATAAACAGTAGTAGAGCTC